CATAAAAGACTAGCATGCTGTTAATCTTACTAGCTCTAGTTGCTTTACCGTGCACCATGTTAAACACCGTATATGCAAATGTAATCCCAATTTAGTGGTACTCAAAATCCCTTTCGGTATTAGCTTCTATGATGTGACCTTTTCGAACCACGACTACGTTTTTTCAATTAGTTGTATACATGGCTTGCATCAACTCGGGGAAAATGCAAATTGTTATTGATATTGTACATATGTACATGTACAAACAAGATCGTCTTATTTTCATGGTCAATGGAAAACCATAAATTAAATCAGTTTACATTTTTGGGAGTTTTCACTCATCAGGACTTTGCATTCGCTGCTTCAGGATACTAGCATCATGGACTGGACAATGCGCGGTTTTGTCAGTTTTATAAAATGATTGAATAAAATTGTGCAATTAGATTGGCTTAGAGGAGTGGTATTTATCCTTAATAGTGGTATTTCAAATTGCACAATTTTATTCAACCATCTTATAAACAAATAATAGCATGTTTTGTACGTGGAATTTGGGCGGATAAATACCACTTGTGATATTTCAAAATTTGTCACAAATCGTGAAAAAATCGTGAAATTTTGTTTGACAATTTTGAAATATCAAAATTTTATCCCAAATGCCACTAAAAAACATGCTATTACCTAAATAAATTCCATAGGAGACTGGGTGATTGATTTGCGACCAGACCTGCATATGAATTCGCCAAGGTTGTAAGCCAGTGTAAACAAAGAAAAGGGAAAACCCGCAGCTCGCTTTTCACTCAAACAGTACAAGTCGTGTTAAATTTATTTACATAACTAAACAAAATGCCACGTATAAGATCAGTTGCAGCGAATGCAGCCAGACGTACATAGGAGAAACATCCCGAAACACGTACATGAGAGGAAGAGAGCATTTGAGGGAGTTGGACAATAGAAGTAAAGGTTCAGTCTTGTGGAGTCATGCAAGAGAGGAACACGAAGGCAAGATTCCTGATTACACGTGTGATGTTACAAATGTTTTCCAGGGGGACGCTCTACTCAGACAAGTGAGTGAAGCCGTACTTATAAACAAAGTGAAGCCAGAAATGAACACGAAGAAAGAGTGGAACTTTGCTAATATCCCGCGTGCTAGAATTAATTAGTAAATTAATTAGTTGTTTTGTATGCGCGCTCACCTTTCTCGTTTTGTGTTGGTGCGCGCGCCTTTAGTGCGCGCTACCCATCAATGTTTGTTTACGAATTTTTCTTCAACTGTTGTAAAACATATAGTGAACTGAAGAGGTTTTTAATAAACGAAACTAGTTTTCACTATTCTTGGTGGTCCCTGGCCGGTACGTGCGAAAATCGTGGAGTGATTTACATTTGTAAAGTTTATGGCTGTTACAAGATTTTTTGAAGTCTCGGCGAAAGCTATTTGTCAAAGATAAACAAAATGATTATAGAATTAAACCTTCAAGAATTGAATGCTCATGTGAAACATTTTCCACCTTAAATACGCTGACACGTGTTTTTCAGAAGGGAATTTAGTCGAACTTTTTTCACGATGGAATTTTGTTTTGAGTCGTTTCGACATAAACAGTCGCTATCAAGACATTACACGAAAAACCTCTGTGAAGGATTTTCAGTTATGCATACCCATAAGTTATGGTATACATCTAATTGACAAAACGTAGTCGGGTTAATTCAAAAAGGCGACATCACAAAAGCTAAGGCCGAAAAGGGTGCATGGGAAAGCAAAAAGTACTGGTATAACCTAGTGTTTCATGGGAGTCCAACGATTGCCAGCACTGCATTTCTCTTCAACGTTTATACATGCTATAGATGTAGTTTATGTAAATTGTTWAATTGAATTTGAGAGTACTTTGTGAACCCCCTAGGGACCACCCTCTGCGACGGACAACGTTAAGTTAGGTATATTGGTAAAGTCATTAAACCCGTGAAACAAAATTCAAGCATTWAAGTCTGATAGTCAAATATAGAAATCAAAACAAAGCAATTAGAGTGTACTTGACGTATAGGATGTATCATTTTGATATTTTGATGTATTATTTTGATATCTATTTCACGGGTTTTTGACTTTACTCAAAAAGAGCAAAAGAAGATCACTCATGCCGCTAATTAATGCTTTTTTTGACTTTTTAATAGAATCTTCTCCCTTAATTAATTTCAACTGCATGGCCTCGCTCTATTTCTGCATGAAAACAATCCAATTAGATTTATATCCAGCTGTTATTCATTTTCAAAGGGAAATATGCACCTGTTTCGAGCCATAGT